ATGACTTTAGGCCTTGGAATCAGCTCAGGCTGGATAGAAGAGCAGTAGCCTGTCTCTGTGATCTAGTTCTTCTCCTTACTGGCTTGGCTATGCAACATCAGTAAGCTGCTACCTGCCTCTTGGAGCTTCAGTTTTCTTATCCATAAAGTGAACATCACAACATGTACCTATTCTGGTTGTTGTGAGGAATAGATTATGATAAAGAAAAACATTAATAGCTAATGCTTACTGAGTACTTGCAGTGAGCCAGGCACTTTTCTGAGTTCTTTACATATATTAATCAACGAGTTATAGGAAATGTCAGAGGAAACATTAAAATGACATTATACATTTGCATTTAAAGTTTAATATAGACTTAAATGCATCTGATTTGTATGAGAAGTTAAATTTAGAAAATGTTTTCCATGAAATTTATCAGCTCTAGATATACTCAAATTTATGTTCCTAAATAATTGATCATAAATTTATCCTAATGTTGTCAAAGTCTATAACATACTCTTAATAGCTCCAGTAACAATTGTATTAGTAGAAAGTTCCTTCTCAAAGTTAAAAAAAAATTAATAAAAATAATTTGTAGTCTTTTACTTGCCTAGACTGACAGATATCACTTTCAATTATACTTGTTGAAAATGAAGTTGCTAAAAGTGTAGATTTTGATGAGCTAATAAATGAATTTGCAAAAAAGTAAGTCAGGAAACTCATGATCAATCAGCTTATCATACTAATAAAGTATTGTTTATTGTATTATACAAATTATAAAACCAACTTTGTTTTGTAATTTGTAAGTTTGTTATCCATGTATCAGAATTATCACTAATGTTTTTTAAGTAATAAAATAATTTTAAAGGAATCACTTTATATTTTAGTGCCATGGCAATTTCCCCTGCTTTCTGAACGGAGGGTCCTGCATTTGTGCACCGGGCCGTGCACCTTCTGTCGCAGCCTTGCACAGCCCTCCCCAAACTCAGATCCTTCTTCACTGGCCTCGAAGCCGACCAGGACCATGGCACCCAGGAACCTGTTTCCTGCTCCTGAGCCCAGGGTGCTTGCAGGAGACATCTTTCCTTCATTTAAAAAAGCATTTTAATGAATCGCTATTATGTTATAATCAATAAGACAATTAATATTAATAATTGTTATTAAATTTATTAATCAGTAAACTAATTAATTAATGTGCATTTCTCTTACCATTTTGATTAGCCTTCAGTATTTTTTCCCCACGGTCATCCATCTGACCCAGGTAGGGGGAATTTCCAGGGCCAACTCTGTTTCTATCCTGAGTGCACTCGAAGGCTGTATGAGAAGTAATATAATATAATATAATATTTTATATTAACAGCGTTGCCTGGGGCAGAGCCATCTCCACAGGGAACTAAGTGAGACATGTTAATAGATGGAACAGGTGATCCTTATTGCAGAGCACACAAGAGAAACACAATAAAATCCCCCTTTTCAGTGGTTTGTCCTCACTCTGAACATTTATTTTCTCTCTAGCTAGCTTATCACAATTTTATCACAATTTTTTTTTTCCTCATGGTCTCTTAAGAACCTTTCAGATGCCCTAAATAGTTTAGATCTTGCACTAAACTACGTGAACCAAAGTCCAGGGTTGAGCCTGGCTGTGAGAGCCTGCCACTCTCAGACTTGTCTCTTGGTTCAGGGAGAACTCATTCCTCATGCCAAGAAGTTTCTAAGATTTCTTCCAGCAAAAGTATGTTTCATCCTAAGGTATAGTTTTGCTAAGAAAAGATATTCTCTGTTTCCTTTTTGGCTTCTCCACTTACATTTCATGGTTTTTCTTCCAAATCCTGCAAAGTTACCCTCAGACTGTCCTATTTTCCTTTTCTCTCATTGAGTTGTTTGCGAGTCAAAAGTACATTCGGTAATTTCACAAATATTTATGCTTTGCGCTTAGGTTCTCAATGAAGAGTCATTGCAAGAATGAACCTTAAAGATAAATTTTCGGGATTGGAAAGGATCTAGATAATTTAGTTATTAACCTCTAATTTTCAGAAATAGAAAACTGCATTTTTCAAGAGTCATTTTTATCTCAGGCAGCTGTTATTAGAGAGTTCTTTCTGCCTCCTTTCTTTTTGTTAAACCAAAACCTGCTTCTTTTCTGGTATCAAGGAAAGGCTTACTTAAAAAAGTGAACTTATGGTCGGAGCCAGCTGACAAAGTAATCGAGGGTACCTGAAAGGGGGAGTGTGGACTGAGGACAAGAAAGAAGACAGACAGAACTGCGGGAGGGAACACAGATTCAAGCTGTGTCTGTGTCCCCGAGCTTATTAAGGCGCTCTCATTTTTCAAAACCCTTGGAAGATTCTTTTAGTCAGCACAAGCTTCTATCTCCTCAGCCTTTTCTTCCCCAAGCATTTGATTTAAAATTGTCTAATCATCGTTAAATACTGTTTACATGATTTTTGATATTTTGACTCTTTTTTATTGCATTAGATTAGGGAAACTTTTGTAGGATGGGAGTAAGTACCAATTACAATATTACTGTTGCAAAAATAAATCTTCGCTTCCCCAAACCGATATGCCCATGAAGCATTTTCAGTACAGTGAGCAGGTAAGGTGAGACTTCATATGTAAAGTGCTATGATAAATGGGGTGCATCTTGAAAACGTGACAGGAAAAGATAATAGACATGACCACATTTTGGACACAATCGATTCTGTGTTGTTGCTTTTATTGAACAGATTTCATGACTGTATGTGAAGACTTGGAACAGAGTTACATGGACAACTATTATATATTCTAAAAGTTCAAAGATACCAAATAGGAAGAAAAAGGGCACACTATTTAGGTACAACTCAACATTCAGACTCAGAAGACAGCCACGGGCAGGAATCCACTCAGGGTGTGAGAAGGAGCCACAGGTGCCAGTGGGCAGTGACAGGCATTCCCATCACCTGCGTGGGGGTATGCCTTGAACAGTGCAGGCAGCACTCAACAAATGGTCAAGAAACTTCTCAGATGCCAGCTCCACTGCAAGGAGACGCACACAGGGCAAGTGAGGGACCTGCTTAGGTCTCATACCCCTCAGAACCTACAACTCCATGGGTGTAACCTCCAAGGTGCCAGTTACCAGAATCCCCTAGATCAGGGAAGCCTAAAGTATGGTGTCTCTCCCCATCAAGCGTTTATAATTCATTTACCTCTCAGTCTGATGCAAGTTACCAGTGATTCTTTAATAAGCAGTGTTTCTTAGAAATATCTTTGAATTTGCCTCTGACCAATTGCCTGGGGGAACAGAGTTAAGAAGTTAACAAAAGAGAAAATTCTCTTGCAGAAAAGCAAAAGATTTTGTAAGCCCTTTACCCACCATACTTAAATACAAAGGAAAAGATAACAGAGGAGCATACTATGCAGTCTCAAAATGTTTAAACCCAGTAGATGAGAAGCCAGACTTCCATTGATATTAACTACAAAATAGGAAAACCAAAGCAAAGCAAAGCTCCTGTGTGGCTCATAGTTGGTCACTAAGATCTTGAACCTTATTTAGTGATTATCCTATTTACCACTGTATTTCCAGTGCCATATGTAGTAGGCACTCAGGAAATATGTGTTGAGTGAATGAATAAAGACTCTCCTTAAACTAGACAATTGAAAAACAAGACAGGTTCAACTTGAAAGCAGCAGGATATATTCTTAGCTGAGTGAAATGAAAGCTGACAGGTTTTGATACCCAAGTGAGGGGGTGTGGTCCAGTTTATTTAGTGATAAATGATCCCCCAAAAGCCACTGCTGGGTGTCCACCCAGTTAGACAAAAATACGTTAATGCATCTGAGACATTAAGGAAAATTTAAATAGTTCTTTGAATATTTGGTTTAAGAAGGCAAAGAAGTGTCGAAATTTTATAAAGTTTGAACTAATAAAAATGTTAAAAGATAACTCATTTCCTTAAAAAATATCATATTTTGGAATGTTTTGTTCCTCTATTCAAAATTTTTTCTCTGATTTGTTCATCTCAAGTAAAACTATGCTTTCTTTTTATGAATGTCTCAAATAACGGGATAAATCTTATAATGTACTGAGGGCATGCTCTTTGGTTAACAGAATACATATTTCGATTTACTTGAAAATTTATTTTCTTGGTTTTAACATTAACTCCTAAACCTGATGGAGCCACAGCCAGATTGATGTTTAGTGGTTATAACTACAGAACCATTTCAAACCCAGAAATTCAAGAACATTTCAGACCCAATGAATTCCAAATTTACTGCTAGTGATGTTTACCAAATGGCTGGCATGTGTGGTGCACATTCAAATGAATATACACTTTATTAAAAGGGGGAGTTTATATTATGTATTCAAGTTCATCAATGTTATGAACCTTTTATTGACTTAATTATGATAATAAGTTTCCTTTTCAAACCAGTAGTATATAGAAGTCTAACGTATGCTTTTTCTTATGGAGTAAAAAAGTTATGAATTGTTTGGCACATTCAGATGCAAATAAACATGATTAGTTATGGATTTATTTTATTGAATAAGCAGATTAAATTCTGCTAAGGAATTTGATATGATCATCCAACTCTAGTGGGAATTGATAGGAGATATAAATAAGCCTTCACTTTGTAAGATAAACATTATTTTTCTTAATTACAAAACTAATATGTTTCTTTAAATCTGATGTTGGAAAATTGTCAGCCTAAAACACTGATTTACAAGGTCATTATTTATAACCCCTTTCTAAAAGTATCATATATTGTCTTTAAAAATTAAAGTCAATTTGCATTAATGTTTTTATAAATATGTTATATTCACTGAATTCATTGGAATGGCTGTGATGTCCTTATTTACCAAACTAAAAAATGACAGGAAAAACTACATACAGAATTTGAACAGCTAGAACAATCATCATTGTATAAACCATGTCCTAGGCCTAAGGCTGGCACTTCTGAACACCTTAGTAATCCATGGTTCACGGGAACAATATAAGCATTAGGAGGAGTTCCAAATAGTCTCTCCTTACAACTATTTTGGTGTTCCTTCAGTTTTGGTGTTTCTTCTTGGTTTCAGTCACAGCTTCCTTTGCTTTCATTCTCTCTCTGAAAAGATCCATGCAGGTATCCACTCCAAAGTACTTAGCAAGGACAAATGTCATGCTTACAGATAATAATCTAGAGAAAAACAGAGGAAAAAAATCATAATACTTGAAGAGGAGTCAGAGAGACTTCTTGGCAAAGATGACTTTCCAGTTACACAGTGTGACATCCTGATTCATACTGTGTACTTGTAAGTAGATAAAAGGAACAAACAAAGAAATGCTATGTCACCTCTGGTGAGTGCCATCTTAATGCAGGGAGTTTGGAAACACCCCATATATGCCACAGTTTATCCATATATTATACTCACTGAGTTCTGTGGAAATACTATGTATATCCTTATTTACTAGACTAACACATGGTAGCAAAAATGAGAAAGAAAACTAGAGCGATTAAAGCAGAATTTCTCAGAATAGGGCCCAGGCATCAGTTTTAGACGATTGCTGGGTGATTCCAGTATATTCCTGTGGTTGAGAACCATTGCTTTAGTTCCTTGAAGACAGAGGAACTGTACTTTCAGCTTAGTTCTGCTTAGATCCTCTTAGTTCTGCTCAACTCAACATGGCAAATGTTAATTACATGCAGTATTCTGTGTTAGGTACTGTACTAAGTCTGGAGCATAGAGCTGGCAACAGTTTAGAAAATGGGTCCTGTTCTCGTGGAGCATGCAATCTAGCAAGGGCACAAGCAGCCACAGGTGTGATGAGTGCTACGAAAGACAGGGACAGGTGTGATGGGACGGAATAGGGCAGCTTAGGGCAGCTTGTAAGGATGGGTAGGAGGTGCAACCTTAGAGTTTCCCATGTGCATACGCGTTCAGTGAGTGCATGAGTGAATCCAATATGTCATAAAAATATGTTGAACAAGGTATAATTAGTAAAGAAAGTACTAGATTTATTAATAACATAATTTTGTAATAGTGAATCACTGGTTGTGTTTTTGATTCTGCTAGTAACTTACAGCAGATAGTCAGAGTTTAAGATCTAACAGATTTGAAACTTTGGTTTGAAACTTTGTTCCAGCACTTATTAGCAGCTTAACCCTGCACAAATTACGTATTCTCATTAAGCCTCAGATTCCCTAAGTGTGATAAAATGCATGCGAAGCTGTCATACAGAGTCTGACACATGTAGGCACCTGATGAATATTAGATGTTATTATGTTTCCTTTCCAGAGAAGACAGTGGACCTGGGCTAAATTCATCCACAAATACTCTGGAACTCAGCATTGCCTTGTGTGCAGTTTAGGTGCCCTTTCATTAAGTGAAATAATGAGCTTGCCAAATATCCTTACTATTTTTCTGGCAACAGAAAATAGAATTCTACATTAATCAAACTAAAAGAGTTCACCAATAATAATAATAATAACAACAATAATAATGTGGGTGCTATTCGTTTCTCTTGAAGCAAATAATTTGTACTCTATGAGGCCTAATGGTTACACAGTTTTCTCAGTGACTGAAAAAACCAAGACATAGCTAGCAATAGTTCAATAAATTGTACTTGTGCTATTAAAGTTCTTCCTTTTACCATGAAAAAATTATGAAGTTGTCGTCCATCAAAAGAGGTAGCAATGATGGCATAGTTTGTTCACGAATAACCAAAATAATAGATTATTATTAACTTACTGTTTAATGATCACTATAAACCACACACGTTTGGGTATTATTAAGTAATTTTGTTCCTCTAAGACAGCATTTACAATCTTTTGGGCCACATATTCCTGCTTCAGGAGAGGCGACAGATACCTGCAATAAAAATAGAGTAATATTGTCAGAGTGGTATTTTTTGTTTTCATCATGAGCATTAATTATTGCAGATATGAAGTTATAGCAACAGTTGAAAATATCCAAACAAAATGAAAATATTAGGAACTGCCTTGTGTTTTCTCTCATGACCAGTATTGGGACCAGCGCCAATACATTTAATTTCCTAAAGTGCACTCCCCACCATTACTGATTTTTTGCTGTGTGATGGTCTGAACATTTGGAAGAAATTGCTTTTAGATTTTTGTTTTGTATTTTTCTTCCCTCTTCTTCACCCCAAACATCGATTGTGTACTATTAAGAAATAACCTTGCAAAAAAATTTTTCCAAAAAAAAAATCAAGCATATGTAATATGTATTTTAAGCAGACCATTGTACAGTAAGCAGAAGTAGATGTTTATGAAATTAATGAGATGAGCATATATAAATAAAGCTCCCATAAGGCATTACTTTGTCATTTTATACCTTTATATTATGCTTTTCTATTACTTGAACAACACTGCCTCAAGAAATTTTGTCTGTCTCACCTGATTTCTGATCAATTTCCCATGATTAAATGTTGGTAATTAGTCTTTATATTTTATACTCCTAAAAATTCCCTAGAACTGTGTCCTAAAGGGCTCCACCATTTATTAAAAGAATTTTCCAAGGAAAATATACAAATGGCCAACATGAAAAGATGCTCAATATCACTAATCATTGGGAAAATGCAGAGCAAATCCACAATAAAATATCACCTCACACCTGTTAGAATGGCTGTCATCAAAAAGGCAAGCAATAATAAGCATTGGCAAGGGCATGGAGAAAGGGGAACCCTTGTACACTGTTGATAGAAATGCAAATTGATATGGCTGCCATGGAAGACCATGTAAAGATTTCTCAAAAAATTAAAAACAGAACTATCATCTGATCCAGCAATCTCATTTCTGGGTATATGTACAATGGAAGTGAAATCAGGATCTTGTAGAGATAACTGCACTACCACGTTCACTGCAACATTATTCACAATATCCAAGATACGGAAAGAGCCTAAATGTCTATCAGCTGATGAATGGATGAAGAATATGTGGAATATTATTAAGCCATGAGAAAAAGGGAAATCTTGCCGTTTGTGACAACTTGGATAAAACTTGAGGACATTATGCAAAGTGAAATAGATAGAGAAAGACAAATACTGTATGATATCACTTATGTGTGGAATCTGAAAAAGCCAAATTCAGAAAAAGAGTAGAGTGGTGGTTACTAGGGGCTGGGGGAATGGGGAGATGGGGAGATGTTGATCAAAGGGTACAAACTTACAGTTATAAGGTTAACGAATTCTGGGGATCTAATGTACATCATGGTGATTATAGTCAATAATACTGTACTTATATACTTTAATTGTTGCTAAGAGAGTAGATCTTAAACATTCTCATCACAAAAAAGAAATAGCAATTATGTGATGGGATGAAAGTCTTAGCTAATGCTATGGTGGTAATCATTTTGCAATATATAAATATCAGATCAACATATTTGTACATGTTAAATTCATACAATGTTATATCAATTATATCTCAATAAGGCTGGAAATAATAAAAGCTATACATCTTTGTTTCTTTCATCCCCTACCATTTTAGGATTATTGATTTTATTTTTCTGGAGACTTTGTTTTTAGCTTTTATGTACATAGGGACTCTAAGTTTACAAAAGCCATCATTTAATATCACTGCCTTCCTTGGCTACCATGCCACTACCACTTGGCTGGTCACATTCATTCTGTAGTCTTGACAATCTAGCTTTCAAATTACCATTCTGTAGAGGCTAATGTTAAGTCGTCAGAAAAAGTTTCTTACCAAATGCAAAGGTGTCATTTTGCTTTCATCGTTTGAAATTCTTCCTGTTCCTCATAGCTGTCTTCTCTGACCAGATATAGTTTCTTTTCTAACTCTCCTGTTTAGATGTGTTTTTTTTTTTTTTTTTTGTAGATGCACTTTCTTCAAATTTTCTATAGGTTTATTTCCGGTACTACCACATTTTTCCTTTATAGCCATTCCCTCGACTAATAGAGATTTATTTATTTATTATTGTCTTTAAAATATTATGAAGAATTTCAATGAAACAAAAGTAGAAAAGTATAATAAACAGTGGTGTGCTGGCACCTGATTAACAATATAAAAAAATAATAAATGGAGCTATTTTAAAATGGAGCCAGAGCTGCTATCCCAGAGGAACTGCCTTACTCTTTACCTGGTTGATTCCTACTTGTTCTGTGGGTCTCAATTTCGATGTTACTTCCTCTGAGAGCCTATCACTGACCACCTCACTTCATTTTAAATTATATGTCCCTTATCTCCCTCATAACAACTTATTTTATAGAACTTAATGACATTATTAATTCTTACTCATATTGTTATTTTAATAATAATGTTAGAAACAAAGAAGTAAAGAAATTAAATTTTGAAGAGAGAACTTACCTCAATATGATAAAGGCCAGATATGACAAACCCACACCTAATATACTCAATGATGAAAAGCTGACAGCTTTTCCTCTGAGATCAGGAACAAGACAAGAATGGCTACTCCTGCCACATTTATTCAACAAAGCAATGGAAGTCCTAGCCAGAACAATTAGGCAAGAAAAAGAAATAAAAGGCATCCAAAATAGAAGGAGAGAAGTAAGTAAAACTGTCTCTAATATCAGATGACATGGTATAAATAGAAAACCCTAAAGACTCCATGAAAAAAACTAATGTTAGAACTAATAAACAAAATCAGTAAAGTTGAAGGATACAAAATCAATATACAAAATCCAGTTGTACTTCTATACTCAAACTAAAAACAATCAGAAAGAGAAATTAAGAAAACAATTCTATTTATAATTGTATCAAAAGAATAAAATTCCTAGGAATAAATTTATCCAAGGAGGTGAAAGACCAGTACACTGAAAACTATAAGACAGTGATGAAAGAAATCGAAGAAGACACAAATAAATGGAAAGGTATTCTGTGCTCATGGATTGGAAGAATATTGTTAAAATGTCTATATTACCCAAAGCCAATTACAGACTCAGTGCAATCCCTATAAAAATTGCAAATGTCAGTTTTCACAGAAATAGAGCAAACAATCCTAAAATTTGTATGGAACCACAAAAGACCCTGAATAGTCACAACAATCTTGAGAAAGAACAAATCTTGAGAAAGAACAAAGCTGGAAGCACCCATACTTCCTAGTTTCAAACTATATTACAAAGCCATAGTATAGTGCTTTCATAAAACAGTATAGTGCTTGCATAAAAACAGACACACCAATTAGTGGAACAGAACAGAGAACTCATAAATAAACCTGTGCATATATAGTCAATTTACAACAAAGGTGCAAAAAATATACTATGGGGAAGAGACAGTTTCTTCAATAAATTGTGCTGGGAAAACTGGACCCCTATCCTACATCATACACAAAATCAATTCAAAATAAAGATTTGAAAGTAAGACCTAAAACCATGCAACTTTCAGAAGAATGCATACAAGGCAAGCTGCTTGACATTGGTCTTGGCAAGGAATTTTTGGACTTGACACCAAAAGCAAAGGCAACAAAAGCAAAAATCGACAGATGGGACTTCTCCAAACTAAAAAGCTCTGCAAATTGAAAGAAAACCATAAACAATGAAAAAGTAACTGATGGAATAGGAGAAAATACTTGCAAATCATGTCTGATAAGGGGTTAATATCCAAAATATAGAAAGAACTGACACAACTCAATAGCAAAAAACCCCAAACAATCTGATTAAAAAATGGGTGGAGGGACTGAATAGACATTTTTCCAAAGATGACATACAAATGGCCAACAGGTACATAGAAAGGTGCTCCAGATCACTCATCAGGGAAACACAAAGCAAAACCACATGAGATATCACATTCATTAGAATGGCTATAATTAAAAAGAAGAGAGATAACAAGTGTTGGCAAAGACGTTGAAAAAAGAGAACTTTTGTGCATTGTTTGTGGGAATGTAAATTGGTGCAGCCACATACAGTGGAATATTATTCAACTATAAAAAGGGGAAATCCTGCCATTTGCATGGATGGTTCTTGAGGGCATCATGCTAAGTGAAATAAGTCAGGGACAAAAACTGTACGATCGCAAGTATATCTGGACTATTAAAGAAACAAACCAATAGAAACAGAACAGACTGGGGATTGCCAGAGGTGGGGGTGGAAGGTGGGGGAGGAAGGTGGGGGAAATGGGTGAAGATGGTCAAAAAGTACAAACTTCCAGTCATAATATTAATAAGTTTTAGAGATGTTATGTATAACTACATATACCATAGTTAACAATATGGTATGGTATATTTGAAACTTACTAAAAGAGTATATCTTAAAAGTTCTCATCATGAGAAAACAAAATTATAACTATGTGAGGTGATGGATATTAACTAACTTTATTGTGGTAATCATTTCACAATATAAACATATACCAAATTGTTATGTTATATACCTTAAACTAATACAATGTTATATGTCAATTATATCTCAATAAAAATGGGATAAAAAGCAGTTTTCTAATGATCATCCATGTAGATAAATCTCAGTATACAGCCACACTTATTTCCTTGGGCTTAGTAAATAAATCTTAATTGTAAAGTTGCTAGGGCCACATATAGCAACTTATAGGCCATTTCAAAGGCCACAAATCTTCCAAAAATGAGGAATACTTAGCATTCTCATGGTTTATGAATGTGGAAATTTTCTTTATATCTGGCCAACACTAAATATTACTGTTTTAAGATTTTTTTTTTTTTTTTTTTGCCAATATGAATGGTAAAACTTTATATATATTAAAGTCTCATCATTCAGGTAGAGATTTTACATATGCTTATTAGCTTTTATCATTCTGTCTCTATCTTATCTATCTCTCTATATACTAAGGCTGATAATTCTATTTTATATATGTTAAAAATATTGTCTCCCTATTTCTTTGCTTTTTATTTTTATATATTATATGTTTAGCATAGTATTTAAGAATACAGACTCTATCTATAACCAAACCACCTGGGTGAAAATCTGGAATCCAGTTCTTTTGACTGTATAGCCTTGAGTGAGTTACTTAATAATTCCATGCCTCAGTTCACTCATCTATTAAATTCAGGTAAATAATAGTATGTACTTCATATGGTTGTGAAAATTACACTCTTCGATCCTCACCTGGCAGAACCTTGGTGCAGTGAAGCAGGAGTAGGATGTGATGAGAAACTCACTCTTCTTCACTAGTGGCCCCACCTGAATTGTTTCTATAGAGCAGTATAGTGTCACCACTTGGCTGCTGCCACCACCCTGTATGGATCTTCTACAGTGCAGAGCCTCAGAGATTGAGATCTTCCAATATTTACTGTCTGGTGAATCTACCCCAAATAATCTTCTACCATAATTAGATGGGAGATACGGGACCTGCCACTTGACTGCTGAAATTACTGGTGCGTCTCTCCAACAATAAAGAGCTGTTCTTGAAAGAAGAATTGCTCTCTTCACCAACAGCTTCTTCCAGAGCTTTCTTACCTAGTGGGAGGTGGGGCTGGAGGAACAAATACTGTCTGGCTGAATCTATCCACTCAATATTGGCCTTCAACAGAAAATGAGATCTTCTGATGTTCACTTGCTGCCAAATTAACCAGAATAGTTTTTCTACCCCAGGGAGCCAGGGGAGATGGAAACTGCCACTCCACTTTGTTGCCAAGCCCACTGGAATAATTATTCTACAAGGCAGAGCTGTGGGTGGAAAAGTATAGTCCCTGGCTCCAATGCCATGGCCTCCCAGGATTATTACTGAATTTCCATAGATTTTCTTGAATAAATACTTCTGAATTTGTTGTATGCCCTTTGATCGATCTCCAAAGATTTTGAATGATCATCTTTGCTAACTCTGCCCAGCTAAACAGATGGCTCTTCGTGAGAGATTTTCCCTCTTCCATATTCTGTCAACTCTTCACCACCTGTCTTTGCACTTTGTTTAATTTCATAGTTTTATGAGACTCTAAAAAGCCCTATTTCTTTCTAACCAGCCTTTCTGTTGGCTGTCTCTCTTTCCTACAGATATAACTGATTCATGTCATTTAGATCACGACCATGCCTTTTTTAGCACTTTTAATGTTATACTTGCCCTCGATAATGTTTATACTTTTCAATATATTCTACTGATTGGCTGCTTTGTGCAAAAGCCCTTATTTTATTTGCATTCTAGTTTGGACTGTTCTGCCAAATGTAACCTTTATATCAAAATACACCTCCCCCCCAGCAATTCTTCCCCACATATATTAATCAATCTTACAAGCTATTTTATCTTTTGAATTATTTTTATTTTAGTATACTTGTTAGGAAAGAAATTATCTTCTGAATACTATGGTGCTAAATATTTTAATAACTTTTTACTACCAATTTTTCTGTTATAATATTCTAATTAGCAATTAGGTTTATGTTTTAACCATATCATAAACTTTATAACTATATTATTATCTTTAAGTTGAATAAATTCATTAACTTAGTATATATGGGATTTTTTTTTTACTGATTGGCATTCTAATTATTTTATTTTGCTGTTCATATTTCAAAACTTCAAAATGAAAAGATGATAATTGACATATGTTGGAAGATTATTATAAGAACAAAGGTTACTGTAAGAGTTCACTTACTTGATTGTAACACCATTAAACATTCCAGTATTCATAAATAATGGGCAAACAATGGTGGTATTAATTTTACTTTTATTTATCATTTTTAATTCAAAGAGGAGAGCTTCTGTCAAGCCAAAAGCTGCAAATTTGGTTGAAGAATATTCTGAAACAAAGTGAAATGCTGTTAGTAATAGAATTTGACAAGTTAATTTTTAGAATTATTTAAAAAATTGAAACTCCCTTTTCTCTGGTTTATTCTTGGAAACAAAACATCACTGTTAAAGTTATTTTTGTGGACACTTTACTCCTATATCTCCATACTATATATCCAACAATGATATGAAGATTATTTTAGTTTCTCTCAGCCTAAGAAGACTCATGAGCCAAGAGGTACATTCTTCTCTTTGTTTTTAAAAAAGAAGAGAATATCTTCCCTTACCACTGCCATTTTAAATAGAAGAATGGAAAGGAATGCTGGTGTCATATATAGGGCCAAATGTACCAGAAATTTCTCCTTGGTGCAGGAAGTTTCTATACCTTGAAAGAGTCCTAATTACTGGGTGCCATGAACTGGGCAAAAAAAAGGCACGTGTTTAAGTACTCACCTGTTAGTCCACTAACACCAATGAGTCCCGCTACACTTGAAATACAGACCAAGTGACCATGGTTAGCTTTTATCATGGCAGGAAGGAAGGCCTTATAAGTCTGGAAGATGTAAATATACTGTGTCACTATTTAATTAATTTATTATGTTATTTGCTCAATAAGTATTTGATGGATTTATAGATTCATTTAATAAATATTTAACAATTATGATGTGTTAAATTCTGTGGCAGTACAAAATAGTCACAGGTACCATGTAGTCACTGTTCTCAAGGATTTTAAAATTTATTATGTGTTAATCTATAAGAAATACTATTTGACTTGGTTTTCCTTTTAAGTTAACTATACCAATCGAATTAAATCAACATTTTACATTTATAGTTTGCTTAAAAAAACCCTTAAAGTCTAGTTTTTCCAGTATACTGAGCTCTTCTATGTAATTTTCAGTAATTTGTATTAAAATTTAATCACATCCACTTTCTTGGCTTTACTATGAACAAGATTCCTCCTCATGCCGATGGACTGGCAGAATGGAAAAAACTGCTCAAGGAAAGGGATAAATTTCAATGCAAGAAAAACGTGCTGTAGTAAATAACATGCTTTGGAATTGTCTACAGTGACTTAGATATATTTTTATCTATTTTGGTAAAATTCACTTATTCATCCTCAAGTAAGATAATAATTTAGTATTCTAAGTTCCCAGGCCATGAAAAAGTCCCAGTTCTCTTACTCCTGTGATTCTTAGGTTCTCTCAAGGAAATTTTCCATTCTCTTTCCCCCTGATACTGAATTCTCTTATCTAACCTCTGTTCAGAAATAATCAAAACTTGGAAATAAGGGAAGAAAGAGATGATTGTGTGACTTTCAACATACTAGAGCATTTCCTAATCTTGCTTGAGGTTTATCTAGCTCTCTTGGGCAATGTAACTTTGTTTAACTGAATATTAGGACCTAGATGTTTCACAATCCTATAAAATTAGAGGTTAACATGTAGAAAACTGATGGAAAAAATAATCCCAGAGGTAAGATTTAGTGATCTTATTTCAGCATTCTTTTTCGTTGACTATATAAATCCAAACTCCTCATATCACCACTTTATCAGCTATGGTATTTGGTTGGTTCCCCCGTAAATGAGTTAAATAAAACCTTGACAGACAATGCTCACCATCTATTTCTATGAGATTTACAGTTTTAATGATGTCAGAATTTTGTATTAAGAGTTTTGGAGAATCTGCCAAGATGTGCTTACAAGGACCCAGTAGAGCAGAGAGCAGCTACTGGATCAAAGAATGTCATCTTTTCTTTTGAGATCTTTTGGGTGTCACTAACCTTGTTCCAGACCTACAGAATTGACTGGTGGGTCTCTGCTTAGATACAAGACAACTGGCCTCTTTTGACATTTCATGTTCAGGTGCGATAGCATTTTATATGTTTATCCCTTGTGGTGACATCTTTGGTTTTCAAAAATTAAAAAAATATTGTTGCATCAGTCATGAGTGCAGACTAGTTGGAAAAGCAAAAGCTGGTTATTGTTTTTCAGCACTGTCTTATAATTTTTCGATGTCATCTTTTTGACAACATTTTAATATCTCCAGTGATTGTGCTACTCTCTAGTGTCCACTTAAATGACTTGAAGACTTTAGGATAATATCAAGTTGAATAAATTTATGAGAAATCTTTGGTTATCCATAAAGTTTTTTTAAAAATTAAAATTGATAAAGCAAAGGTATGAAGTCAGCTAGCACAGTTTTGACTTGTTTTGTAAAGCTTGAACTGAGAAGGTAAGTTTCACATGATATATACCATACCTTCTAATATGATGACAAGGTTAATTATATTTTACCATTATGATTGAAAGCTGATTATGATACTGTTATATAGCTATGTATATATTTTTTGTGTTTAAGATCATACATATATTAATGCATATTAAAATTAATAAGCAAAATAAATGTATGTGTGATAAAGATGAGGGACCCAGAAACTTAAAATTGGCTTTGGAATATTCAGTCTGCTGTAAACAATTGGTATTAAAAGGCTATTCTTTACTTTTGTGTAATCTTCCCAGAGAGTGGAGATTCTTGTCATAATATTCTGAGCCCTTGAACTACCTTTTGTCATGCTATGGAATTGTTAAAACAAAGGACAAAAATTTGTCACATCTGAAAGCTATTAGGTTTCTTATTAATTATATTGTTACCTTCTGTTAGGTTTATTAAAAAAATCTGTATTGTCACTCTAGCTATTAAGGTATCAATGCAACCATTCAGCTATGTTTTTGTTTAGAAAATAAATAAAACTATTGCATTCAAAGTCATCTTTGGAACTTCTTAGGTGGCCAAAGCACCTAAAGCCTATCCCCTTTGCTGAATTCTATGACATGGCAGTCAGCAGTAGGGATGCTAGGAACAACAAGGTGTATTTGGAATGTACCTCATTTCTTCATTAGCCGAACCCTGTTTTAGGATCTTCCCTAAGGAAATGTGGGGAGAGCTGTCAGATCAAAAAGGATATTCAACCTTTCCTGAGTAAATTTATTAATACAAATATGTTTTATCAGAGATTGTATACTTGCCAGGATGGAGAGAAGGGCTCTGGGAATTTGTTAGAGCTCTCACTGTAATAATTAACCAAATCCCTATGAAATAGGTATAATGCCCCTATAGAGATTTCTACTTTCTCTAATTGATATTTCTGGTTGCTGGACTTAATCAGATCCATTCAGTTTTGTCCTCAATAGGGAGTTTCTGGACTCTCCTATTGTGTCTGAAGGCTCTGGTGCTATAAGCCAAAAATCGTGTCTGTGGTAGACACAGTACAGCAGGACACTCCAAAGGTCACAGTGGAAAGGACTGTGCCAAGGAAGCCAGATCATTGGTATAGGCTTGACTGGTGTGAACTGACACTGCCACTGTGAGGGCATCCTCTAAGGCCACGCCAGGGGCCGAGGCATGTCACTAGGGAGATTCTGACCAGGAACAGAACAGAAATAATTATATAGGGGTGGATGATAGAAACAAGAAGGGAAACTTAAATGTGCTCAGTGTTCTATTTTCTGATGGGTTAATGAAGAAGTCCTTTTCCTTTGTGATCTATTTCTAATCCTCAATTAAGGAAGCTATACTTAGGCAAGCTGCAATGAAACTCTAAAAGTTATCTCATTTCAACTGTTAGCCTCAGAATTCTGGAAAAGTATCTTATGGGGAATTTTAATGTGGATTATAAACTAACAAATCAGAGAAATGTGACGTTGATGATGATTCTCATTCTGAACTTGGGTTTCAGATGACTATCTTCATAATGGATTAAGCTTAGAGAAATATATGGAAAGAATCAGTTATCCTAACTACCATAAATCCATAAACATGCCATTTTTATAGATAACATGAAAAATATTAATTGTCCTTGTCCACATTCTACTTAGGGCAGTAGGCAGATTCTAGTGCAGTGATTGCTACTGAGATCCTTCCTCTTTCATGGTCATGTACTTATTTTTATAAGTTCCATAAGAACCAGGTTTTATTCTTACCAGGATATAATTGAAGAGATCGTGAGCACAACCAGAGCACAAGTGTGTCATATATAAGAATAATTTTCATTTAATCATGTGTGACAAGCTCACATTTCAGGGACAGTGGTTAGAGTTCATATGTGCAACAAATGCCTACTAAGGTGCCCTCCCAGGAACTGGACCAATACTTGTTCTGTGGCTTACAGGATCCCTCCTAGCCTTACAGGTATTAAGGAAGGTCATTTCCTGGCAGGCCAGGAACCTTGGCAGTGTTGGGAGACCTTGAGAAAAAGGAAACCTGTCATAATTAGAAATACTGCAGGCAGGACTTGGTAGATACATTTCTTGGTTTTGGTTCCCTTGCTTTAGAGTTTTAAATTTACTAATTCTCCTTCTATATAGCGTCTTTCCCTTCTCTGTTGCTACTCTCTTGTGTCTGTAAGCTTGGGCCATCACGTAGCAGTTGCAGGACCGTGGGTAAGTTGTTTAAACCCTGTGAGCCTCAGTTTCCTTATTTGTAAAATGAGAATGAAAATGGTACCATAGCCACCATGTACAGGAAAAGAACTGAGTAGTCCATGGCATCTAGTAAGAGCTTACTTCCTTTGTTATGATGCCCAGTCATATATGCACATAAACCACCACTCTAAAAATAGCCACTTTCTTTCTGCACAAGCTCCTCTTTCATTCGAGAACAAATTACATCTCTTTTGTATAATGGCTGTCACAGTCTGTTCGTATTTTAGTAGGAAGATTTCTGAATAGTCTAATAAGTCTTGAGACCAAACTAGAGAGGGGAGAGGGAAGGACCCTACCTGAGAGTTTGGAAGAGGACAAGAACAGGGAAAACTAAGCTGAGTGTGTGTCAAGGTAAAACCTGGACAAGATGAGAGGTCATTAGTCTATCGATGGGAAACTCATGAATGGTATAGATAAATGGCTGAACAGTGGTTTATAGAAATACATGGAGTTTTCATACTTATCAACAAAAGAAAATGAAAAAGAATGAAGATTTACCCAGAAATGAGACAGGACATTTACAAGAAATGATTTTTCCACCATCTCATCTGGAATGTCGAGAAACAGCTTTCCCACAACAATTCCAGCGTTGTTAATGAGAATGGTCACATCGCCAACCTCTTTTTTAACCTGGACAGAAGTAAGGCAAACATTAATTCACTTGAGGTAATACATTTTCATATTTCTTTTTCCAGGCCATCATTTTTCCCCTCATTCAGGTAGTTTTTTAAAACCAGATATTTGATCTTACATGTAGAAAATCAACCATTTTAAAGTAACTTTATGATCAATTACATTAAAAAACACTGTTATTTAAAGGATCTTAATTTTTTTGTTTAGAGATGACCTAATATTGCAACATCTTTTCTCCGCCTATTTGTTATGCTACTAAGCCTTTCCTGCCAGCTGCTAATGCCAAGTGTTGCATAAGTGACATTTGATTCTGTCACCCTTCGTGCCTCCAAGTGTCTTTCTTCAGATGGCTGTTAGGTCCTTCCTCAGCATGATGTGTCTGGCAGTTATTTCTGTATATAGCTCCTCCTGACTCTTCTGTGAGTTAGATGGCAGGAGCACATCCCATCCCCCTAGAGCCTGAACAGTGCTTGGCACGAAGACGTCCCAAACACAGATGTGTCTGGCTTACTGCCCAGAGAACTCTGTGAGCCTGTGGACTTTTCTCCAAATTCCTATCTGAGGCTGATGTTTCCCTGAGGTCCACAGCTGTGCTACAGCATTTTCCTTTACCCTTCCCTTCTGCTCTGCCCACCTCGCCTGCTTGCATAATCCACAATATACCACCAGCCCTACTTAGACATCAGCGTGCTCCAAGAAACACCGCAGAGATCGTTTTCTCTCTTTCACCATTTCGTCTCAAATTATGGCTTTGTAGGTGACACTGACTAAGCTGACCCAGGGGCAAAGCTTGAGGCATGTTTAAATAATGGTTGAAGACTTTTGTTTGCCCTGAATTGGATCTTTCGTGCCAATACAGCAATCTCTTTCTTTGTTTCCGAACAGGAAGCACTTCCTGCCCTGACTTAATAATTCCTAGTCCATGCAGTGCTTTGTGTTGGAGCCTTCCAGATATGATTGAGACATATTAGGCAAATATTGCTCCTGACATAGTCAAGTGGAGCAGTCTATGAAAGGAAGGATTAATATTGCTGAGCTGAGGTTGCACTGAGGGATTAGACTTCTCTACTGTGGGAAGAGGTGAGACAGAGGAAGACATCTAGGAGAGGCTAACTTATAAAGAAGAACATTCCACCAGCATGAGGAGGAAATCAGCATGAGCAAGCTCTCTACTGTAGACCAATCGTGGGGGAGCAACAGGGCCGGGAAAGAGGTAGAATCTCTGGTGTGAGACATTCTTGACTATTTAAGAAAAACCCAGTGGTCACTAGAGAGGGCAGGTAACTTGGTAAAAATTGTACAACCAAAAATCAACAGAACTAGGACTAGTCCTGGTTTCTCCTGATCCCTTGATAGTAAATGAATCACTAAGAAAAGCTGTCAGGCATCGACTTGGAAGGCTTATCGGATTCCCGCTTGCATTGTTTTATTCCATGGCCTTCCTTGGAGGCTACAGAGTTAGATGCCTGACATGCAAGATCAAGCAAGAGGCACAGAGAGATCTTGGGGGAAGCCAAACAACTTTTTCTCTTCCTGTCTTTGTAAAAGCATATATCAGATGCAGTACTTTTCTTGGGCATAGAGTCTAAGAAGGACACTAAGCAGCTTACCTGATCAGCAACTCTATAGATCTCTTGCCTGTTGCTACAATCACATTTATAGGCAAATACTTGCACGCCACCTTTTTCTTTGGCCAGTCTACACGTTTCCATATTGTCTTCTTCATTAATGTCCCACAGAACTACAGTGGCTCCAAGGCTGGCAAATATTATGGCCATTTGCCTCCCGAGTCCATTTCCAGCTCCCGTTATAAGTACAATCTCTCCAGCAACATTCTTTTTTCTCTTAGGAATTATCTTGTAAACTGAAGAGTCTAGAAAATAATATAGAAGTTTTCCCAAAGTTAAGCTAGTGTCCCGAATCGCTTCCATGTTGATTTACTAAAGAAAGGAACGTCCTAAAAAGAAAAAAGGTAACAGGTAAATTCATTATATTATCACAGCAATTGCAATACACATGACATATTTAGTACAAGGGGATTTGCCCTCGAGACGTTAATTCCCCAAGATACATATCATAGCAACAACTTCTAAAATCATTGAATTTTTACATTACATAAATAGCAAATGTGTTCCATATTAACAAGAATATTTGTAATTTACAGGGCATTTTATTCCATATAATCTAATGTGAGCTATAGATGGGTCACAGGTTACTAGGATAGCTTTATAGTTATAGATGTAAGGTCTTTGAGTCTTAACTTGCCCAATATTATATGACTAGTAAACCAAGACTTTAGATTCTCAGTCTAGTCATTTTTCTATTATATGAACTCCCTTGACGATCTCATAATAGAAATTTGCTTTCCATTAGGTAGTTTTTCAATAATATAAAATAACATCACAACACAATAAAAGACTTTATACATTTTCACCTGATTGTTATACTGTCCCTCTGAGTCAAGCAGATACAGTTATTATTATTTCATAGTGCTTTATTCAAGGTTGCATAGGTAGCTAATAAAATAGGCAACATTAGGATCAAGTACGGAAGTTTCCCGCACTGTAGTCCAGGCTTTACCATTAGAATAGGCTTTTCTTGGAGCAAATGTATACTGTTCCCAGACCCAACTTTTCAAAAATTAATAGATCATTTTTTTTTATTTCTGATGACACATCTTTGATTTTTGATAATCACATTCTTGAACATTCTTAATCATTTCACACAGAAATTAAATGGGGACATCTACAAAACTTACATTAAAACAGACAACAACTGCTTGAGGAAATAACGACTAGCACCGCAATAATTATAATCATAGAGCGATATATATGGAATCTTCCTACAAACCAAGCAAGTTCTAAGTGCTCTGTATGCGTTTAACTCTTGCAAGGGTTGCTCTCTTTTACAGTGAAGAGAACAGAGATACTAAGGTTAAGCAAACTAACCCATGGTTACACAGTTAATAATAGTGAATATAGAATTTGAATGCATGCAATGACTTCTCTGTTCAAGCTATCAAATGCTAAGAAATATAGCAAAAAAAAAAAAAAAAAAAAAGTAAAAGCTGAATCTGGTAAAAAGGGTTATCTTCATATTACATCCATTTCATATAAAGTCAGTCAGGAATTAATTTTGAGATGTTCCAAAGACCTAAGTGAGGACACTGAAGGACCCAGGCTGCCTTCAACTTTCTGTTAGTGCTGACCTGCCAAAAATTCCCACTGAGATAAGATTTAAAAAAGCATTATTGCCACAACACCATTATAAATATTTATGTGGATTTTAGGAAGGAAGAAAAATCCTGGGGAAGCCTGCATTCAGGAAAGAGCAAGGAGTAAGGGCATTATAGATCTCTTCTATTAACTCTTTTGGATTTATTAAGAATATTAACCACATCCCTAAATGTATTTTCCTTGGAAAATTTTAGGGACTTCTCCTTACATTGATGTTGACTATGAGTTAATGCACATTAGAAGTTCATAACCAGGAAAGACATCAAACCAGAGAAAAGTCACTCTCTTCTCCAAGCTTATATAAACTTTTCTGGCTCAAGCATAATCCTGGCAACATGTAGTACATTGTAGTTATGAAAAGAAATGATATCATTTATTAAAAATAAATGCAAATGTGATGGAGATGTCCTCGGTCACACGATTTTTATGTGGTGATAAGAAAAGATTGTGACTTTCCTCATACTTTTTCTTTAGGAGAAAGTTTATTCTCAAAGTAGGTGATTTGTCTTGAAAGAAACTCAGGTAGCTTTCATAAAGTTATTAAATTTCAGCAACATACTGTTATATTTTGGGACCTTTCTGAGGACCAGAGTTTAGACATGTCTTTAACCGTTCATCGTTTAAATGTTCCCTAAACTAAGAGAGCTCACTCGCAGGCTGTTCTAAGTATTCAATTTTGGAACAAAGGAGAAAAGCACATGTAAGCCCTGGATGTAGGAAGTACGAGCCAGAAAAGACTATTGCTCCCAGGTGGGCCCTTGGCCAATTGTGGCAACCGGGCAGTTAGAAAAAACATCATTGAGCATTGTGATGAGCAAACTTTTATCAAGTACTCAATTGCACTCAACTGTGCTTTCCATGCCTTGTTTTATTTAATCCTCAAAATAGCCCTGTGAGGAAAGTATGAGACTCAGGTAGACACATAACTCTCCAAGGAGTGGACAGTTCCTATGCTATGATTCCGCAAGTCCTGCTCCTGTGACCACTATACATGTAAATTCCCTGAATTACTTTCAGTAAACTGGGCTTTGGATCACAGGGACCTCCTTTCATTTTCCAGGCACAGCCTGAGCCCTTCAGGTTAAAGGATGGCCGTGAGAATGGAGTGAAAGGCTGTACAGATACCTGAGTCTCAGGAATGTTAAAAACATCGAAACAACAAATAGAACAAAGCATTGTGTAAATTGTGAAATGCTATGCAAATATTGATTTCTATCATTTGGCACAGGAGACTTTGATAATGACAGAGTTTGCAGCCCGTCATCCATAAAGATGCCCATGGTGGAGGCATTAAAGAGTTTTCTCTACTTTTCAGAGTGTGCCTCAACTATGAAATTGCTGAAGAGGTCTTGGGAGAGGGGTTTGCACAGGAGTCTATCTGAGTCCCACCCTTCTCCTGGGCTGCTGATAAACGCAGGACCCTGTCACAAGGCCAAATCTGTGCATTCACGGGGCCCAGCTGGGCCCACGGGCCTGTTTCCCTCGGCTCCTCCTTGATTTTCTCCCTTGTCTTTTTCACCACTTCTTCCCCTCGCCCTGCTGAAAGTCAAAAAAGTGAGCAAAAACAATTAGAAAAAAAGAATAAAGAGACATGGGAACTGATAATAAAATTACATCAAGCCTTATTTGGAAACTGCACTAAGTTGTGCCCAGAGAAACTGGCTGTCAGGAGCAGACACGTAAAATGCCTCCCGTGGAGCCAAAAGACCCAAACCTTACCTGCAGAAATGGCCAACTTGTCCGATGCGTGAGTTCTCTCGGAGTCGAAGCAAACACAGGTCCTGTAAGCTGCTAGAAGCTGGTTCTTAAATGAAATTGGCTTTAAATCTCCTCCCACACTTTTTACTGTCTCTGTGGGTGCCAAGTAAAGGAGCGTCAGCTATGAGATGTTGCCTGAGAGGTCACCTGTGTTTTTCCTCTGTTTACTGCGATGTGTAACATGCCTCTTGTGCTTTCAGTTCCCACAGTAGTCTGAAGTAAAGCACACGTTGAAAGTAATTTGCAGCCATAATACTGCCATTATCGTTAGCCCTCCCATGGGTATACTGAAATCTTTACATCAGCAGAACAGAAATACATTTTTTAGCTCAGTTAGGAAAATGTGAAACTCAGTTGCTGACTCATCTGAACAATGTGATGATCAGGATACATTATTTTCCTCATATTTTTATCATGAAAAATTTCAAACATAATGAAACTTGAAGAAATAGGCCATAAGTGTTCCAAGAACCTATGCCTAGTCCAAATGTTTGTTAATATTTTACCATATTTACTTTCTATTGCCTCTTTTTGGAGAAACATTTAAAAATAAGTTGTAGAAATGACACACCTACAAGTACCCAGCACTCATCTCTGAAGAAGGAAGTTATCATATATGACCAAAATCAAAGTATTATATCTAATAAAATTAACAGTTCTATAATACCATCTAATAATCCATATCTAAATTTCCCCACTTGTCCCAAAGATCCAATCAAGTTTCATGTACTGCAGTTGGCTGAGAGAGCTCTTTAATAACCTGGCTAGAATAGCTCTGTCCATCTCAAAAAAATTTTTTTAATGTACACATCATTGATTTTTTGAAAAATCCAGGCCGTTTGTCTTATAGGATGTCTCGTATTCTCTCTTTGTCTGACATTTCTCATGATGTCATTTAACTGGACCTCCATCCCCTGTACCTTCTGCAAGCTTCAGGTAAGATTTAGGCCTTGATTATATTCAGATTAAACACTTTTTTTTTGGCAAGAAAATAACATACATGCTGTTGAACACTTCATATTACAACTTGTCACAATGTCTGGTGTCAGGCTGTCCCAATATTAAGGTGCTAAATTTAGCCTTTAGCGGAAGGCAGCAACCACAAACTCTCTTCATTATAAAGGCACGTTTTCCAGTTACAGTTACTAGTAGTTTATGGGACGGCACTTGGGTACCATGTAACCCATGTAACTGTATTGCTTTCTACAGCCTTTCAACTAATGATTTAAAAAATATATAGACTTTATTTTTTGGAGCAGTTTTGGGTCCACAGCAAAATGAAAGGAAAGCACAGAAGGTTCCTATATACTTCCTCCCCTACCAGGATGGCAGCTGTGTTTGTCTTTCCCATCCAGCCCTGTTGATGGTGGTTTAAACTGCATGTCCCAGGACCCGGTCCCTTTTCTTGCTAGTTCATGGCTCCATAAACTATTTTAGAAAGGGTATTTACCCCAAAGACTTGAAAACACATATTCCAAAAGATATTTGCTCACTGACGTTCATAGCAGCGTTATTCACGGTAGCCAGGACATGGAAGCAACCGAAGTTTTCTACGATAGATGAATGGATAAAGTAGCTGTGGTACATATATACAATGGAATATTAGCCATAAGAAGAGATAAAATACTGCCATTCGCGACAACATGGATGGACCTCGAGATAATCATGCTAAACGAAATAAGCCAGACAGAAAAAGTTGAAAACCACATGCTATCACTTACATATGGTATATAAACCTAAAAGCAGCAAACAAACAGAGACTCGTGGACATGGACAATAGACAAGTGGTTACTGAGGGCTGGGGGGAGAAGAGAAGTAGATGGGGTAAAAGTGGTCAAATACGTGGTGACAGAAAGAAATCTAAGTATGGGTGGTGAACACTCAGTGCAATATATATATGCCTTATTATATATATATACACCTGAAACTTACTAGAT